TAAGTGTTGTAGCTGATAATCTGAAATAGTGTTACAGGAAGTCATACATCAAATTTTGATCTCTAAATAATATTTGGCCGCTAAAAACATTAAAACTCCCACCATTATATAACTTTCCACTATGTGCGATTTCACCACTCTAGGGGCGATTTGTGGGGCGATTTGTGTGACTGCGTTTTTGTTAGGTTAGGGATGAAATCTTTTTTGGAGATTGCTAGATTACCAAGAATCTCGCTCGAAGGGGACGTGAAGACGGCAGTTCCCCTCGAGGACCGTCGTTGTACATCAACGGGGAGTCCGTCAGGAACAGAAAGTCAGTGCTCTCATCTTGCCTGGTTGGACGTTTTGACAAGGAGGTTGGAGGGTGTGACTGAGTGGAAGAATGGGCAGAGAGGGCTTGGAACATGACTTAGATCAAAACAACAATAAAACAATCACCTATATCATAGTGAAATAAAGAACACATAGTTTAGTTCTATGTGATTACTCATAATAATTAATAGAAAATAATAATAATCACCTACATTCCTAGTAAAATGAGAACTAAACTGAACAGAAGAGGAACTAAATAGAGTGGAGTTAGAAATAATCAGAATTCCAAGCAAAGAAATGTGATATTCTAATATAAAAAAATTGATAATCTAATATAATGAAGTGATGTGAGAAATAGTTGAAGAATAGGAGTGGAATTAATATCAGTTGAAATAATCATAATACATTTTATTAAAATGATAATAATGGTCCGAATTCAATTTGAAATAAAGAAAGTATTGAAGATTTGACTAATATGAATTAATACAAAATCAGAAACCTAGACAAGCACATAAATCTCAATCAACGACAATGATAAGAATAATAATCATATAAAATTCAAATAATTAAAAATAAATAAATAAATAAATAAAAAACAGAGTGAAAATGAGTATAATCAAGTAAAATGAACTGATACAAATCAAAACGCTACAATTATACATACGTATATTCCTCTATATATCTAATATACATCAAAACAAACAAGAATGTCAAATACAAAAATAACTATCTACATTCGAAATCGATGAAGCAAATATTGAATAACAGAGTAGATTCAACTAATTTAAACTAGTATATATATATATATATATATATTCAGAAACCCTAACTACATTGTGCATATAATTACACAGTATTCACACAAAAAATGATAAGAGTAACAAATACTCGAGTTGAGAGAAGAAAAACAACTAGCGAAAAACAAAATTAGGAACTCTAGTATATACAAATACATACATATATATATATATATATATATAGATGAATATATGTAGTAGAGATCGAACCAGACCTTGAAGTAGAAGTTTGGATCATCGCAGTCTTCTTGAGGCTGAAGATCGGTGAGGTTCAGTTCACCATTTTTCTCGACCGAGGAAAATGAAACTTTCTCTCTCTACAAGCTCCAAAGTAGAGAGAGAAAAAGTGGTCCTCGCATTTTTTTTTTTTTTTTTTCCATCAAAAATTAAATGATTTATTATTAAAAAAAAAAAGAAAGATATTAAATGGGTGAAATTACCATTTTACCATTTTCAATGACCATACTTAGTTTATTTTATTTAGAAAATTAGGGGTAGATTGGTACTTGTAACTACTGTCACTCAGGCAGATTATAAAGGTCCGTCCCTCATTACATACTCAGTAGTTGCTCTTCGTCTTGGCTGCAGGTTCTCATTGTCTCTAAATTTTAAGTTTAATCATTTTAAGTTTTGAGCTTTGATATTTATTTTGTTGATTCTTTCTTGTGTAGGTGATTTTGTTTCGTCAGATCTCTCTGATACTGAATCAGGTAAATTCATATATATATATATATAGATATAGATATATATATATATATATATATATATATATAACTTCATATTTTCTGTTTGATTTATATATAACTTCATATATATATATATATATATATATATGTAGTGTTTGTGTTATTATGAAATAAGAATTTGTTCATCCAAATTGAAAAATCAATCATAAATGAAACAGAAAATTTCTGCATGGTTGCACATTTTTGAGTTGCGAGCGTGATGCTTAACGACTATTGATTCCTGCTCTTTGACTTCTTTGATGCTAATTGCATCTTGAATGGCTTTCAACGGAGGATATGCATCCTCCTATATCTCTGCTTCCGTACCTTTTTCTTGTGGGGTTTTCATGGTATTTTGTAGATTAGTTTCCATACTCTGTCTTGTTGCAGGTTACTATTTTCTTCTCTACCTCTTTTGTTCTTTTATATAAATGTATATACTTAATGGCCATGCAAGTCGTCAAACACTAAAATATATTGTGTTTAGAACAGCCTTTTTTATAGTAACTCTGTAATAAGTGTTTAGAACGAATGATAAAAACATTAACTGTGATTTGATGCCTGGCTTCCACTGGGTTATATAGTGCATTCAGGAATAGTTTAGATTCTTCAATCATAAGGGATTATTCATGGAATTGGCCTGTAATCCATATAAATTATATGGATTAAAAGCAAGTTCTTTATATGAGGGTTAATCAAATAAACTTTATGCTTAATTCTAAATACGTACTTTAACATCATACAGAAGTTGGTCGGACAAGAACCTCACAACTGTCTTTCCTTACCACTGTCAAGAGACTATAATAGCCGTTGAATATGAAAATAAGAACATGGATTAATGTCTTGTTTCTGCTATGTATTTTAGATATCCGCATTAGAAATTAGTTTGTGCCAGTGAGTGGGGCTATGTGGTGGGGCCCAAATGAGAAAATCTTTCCATGTATTAGGGATCATAAGCACATTGATGGGAACCTCTACAGCACTGAGGCAGAGGAAGTAAACATTGGGTTGCTTTGTGAAATGCAAGGATGGCTCATCTTGAGTGCATAATTTCTCCTGGTTTGTGCCAGTGTGTGGGGACATGTGGTGGGGGTGATGGTTTGGAGGGTATGTTTGAAGGAGTAGGATTTGGTAGGTGATGGGGTTACAATCTCATCATATTAGTAAATAATTTTTTTACTAATTTTTTAACTATACTAATATTAGCCCAGTCCTAAAAATAAATAAATAAATAATACCATTGAATTAAAAATAACCTCTTAAATTATTAATTTGGTTCATTCAAGTATGGAACGCTAGACAATTACTATTTAGCCCTTATTTAAGGGACCTTATATAGGTTGTATTTTGTTGTTAATATGATGTGGGAATAAAATCTCTTGAACCAATAGAGAAGCGACATCTGCTCCAAAAAAGTGAAGGTTTATAAGCCAAACACGACTTCTTCAACTCTTTCCTTCTCCCAAGCTTTCTTTCTCTACAGCTTTCTTTCTCTACAGCTTTCTCCCATTAAACAAATTAATGGCAATGTGCCTTTCTTTCACTGTATTAGCAGCATAGATGCGACTAAGAAACACAATAGACTTATTACAGAGCACAAATAACACTGAAAAGACAGTGGAAGATTGAATATTCTCCAATGACCATTCCTGATTAAGCACTTCACTTTAGGTTGGACACCCCACATTGGGTTAGTAATCAGCACATTGTCCAACTTGATTTCAAGAGGGCCACAAGGAAGCCCACATTGAACTATAATTTTCTTTTCTTTTTTTCTTTTTCTTTTTCAATCTCTGGTACGTAATCACCTATAGACTTTCTATATTTTTATTTTGTTGTATGCATGGTTTTTGGAAATGGTTTTTCCATATGTACATCTTAGATTGTATTTCTAGTGTATGTTCTCCTTTGACTTGGCTCTGGAGTTTATAAATTGGAGCTATATTGTGGTCTGCCCAATGGTGATATTTCACAAACTAATTTGAGTTTTTGTCAGGATGATTACTACTCCTCCAAAGAATGAGGATCTCCTACTTCTGTACAACCTGCGAAATCAGCGAACAGAGATGCAGGCCAGAAATGAAAACTGTTTGGAAATAACAACGCGCATCAACACAAGTATTGAAGCTCTGGTTGCTCAACCCTTCTTCACACTGTACAACGAAGGTGATGTTTCTCTGGTTGAGAACTTAAAATCCCGTCATGGCTGGAAGCACGGTTATGTCATCATTGATGACAAAACTGGTCGCAATCTCAAAAGACTCATGGAACGTACGCTGCGACGTCTGAACATATACTTCAAATAGAAGACTGGTACTATCATCCAACAAAACAATATGATTTATGTAATTTACATACTTGTCAATTCTGTTCACTTTTTAGGAAATGCGGGTGGGTTATTAACTATATAGCTTAAGGAATTCTGTTTGATTCTGAGCCATATCTAGTATGTCAATCTCACACTCTTCTCTTGACCGTCCAACATCCTCAAAGTCTGAGACTAAAGGATGTGTGTCCTCATTTGAATTGATTTAAGAGATATCGACTCTCTCTTTGGCTTTAGAGGAATTCTGACTTTCTTGTTGGCGTGGTACTTGCTTGCTTGTATGAATATCTTATCCCTTTAAGTGAATGGTTCTGACACTAGGAAAGAAGAAAGTGGAACAATAGGAAGAATAGCGAACTGCTGCTTAAGTGCAATGAATGTATGAGATCAAACTTTTCACAAATGATGACCCTCGCAAAGACCTTGATTCTGACTAACTCATTTTTGATCTTCTTTTTCAGTAAAGGTGAAATGGAATTGGGTTATTAACTACCATGTATTAGATACATGATCATTCAGGGCTATAACTGATATTGTATGGTCAAAGGTTTAGTAGTCATTACCATTTTTACCGCCTTACATAGAATAAGTAGCAATGGAATTTTCATTTTTTCTATACAGCCCATTATTACAATTATATATATATATATATCTATCAACATCCTCTTGGAAGAAATACCTCCTATAACAAATACCTCCTATAAGCCTTTTCCCAAACATTCAACCATCCAATATATAATATCAAATCAACTTCCCAACATTCAACTATCCAATACTACATAATATCAAACAAATTTAGAAGACAAGGATGTAGAAGCAATAGGTTTTACAAACATGTAATTATAGGATAACCAAAGCTACTTCAGCAGAAAGTTTGGTTCCAAGCTTTTCGGCGCGCTTTCTAGCTTTTTTTCTCTGCTTGGTGTCCAAAAACTCCCATGGGGTTCCTATATAATCTGGATTGCGAGAATCAAAAGTAATCTTCTCAAGCTTGACAGCACCCTTAATTAGATACATGGCAAGCTCAACATCAATCATCCGCCCAACGAACCCAATAAATTCCACCTCCTTAAGGTGCTGATGGGGCCAAAATTTAACCCTTTGCCATTTTCTATAAACTTTGTACCTGGCCCCTGTAAGCTGTAACAAGGAGGAATGGAGTCATGCAGTGCTTTATACATGCTTAAGGAATGACATATAACAATGATGAGAACAAAGCAATCCAAGGATGTGTATCATATTAAACAACCATGTAAAACTCTTAGGAAATAAATGTTAAATCAAAATGGGAAACAGAACGATAGGTATTCATTTTCAAAAAAAACTTGAGCAAGCTGGAGAATAGAGCAAGCTAAACACCGTAACAAATTTTTCCTATTACTAGTAATAGTGTGAATTTGTAATAGCAATAAAGAAGTAATTACTTGGAATAATTGAAACCTTTTAAGCTGAAGTCCTAATGAATCAACATTTGAAAATTCAAATACGAAGCAATAAACTTCACAATTTAGAAAAGTAAGACTAATTACCTCCAACACAAATTTACGCAAGAAAGGACACGCCTCTATTAGGGGAGTATAAACAATAAGGTTTTGTTCATCATCTGCACTAATTATCAACTCCAGTTGCTTGAGCTTATTAAATACAGGAAATTTAGGAAACTTGACAATATTCTGAATAAACCAAAGAAAAGAAAAGTAAATCAGCACATAGTTATAATTATTTTAAAAAATGAATAAAGTAAAAATAAAGGAAGGAGATAAAATGAATTAGTTAAACTTACTAACCATCTCAAAGATGGAGGTGAACTGGATCAAATGCAACGTAAGGCTCTCTAGTTGAGAAAGATGGCTTGAAATCTCCAAAAAGTTATGAAGTAGTTCTTCGCTGTAGTCACCCCCTATATACATTTCAACAGGCCACGGGACGCTTTTAAATGGCTGGTTTATTTTTGGTCCGAAGTATTTAAATGACCTGAGATTCATTGCAAAAATCTCAATACTTTCCACATAGAAGCAGTGAGAAATCTCCAATCGCTTCAATTTGAGTGATGTATTAGGAACTTTTAGATTTACCAGATCGTCAGATTTTTGCACAGACAATTGTTCTAAAAATGTACAGTTACTTAAGAAGTATTCGAGAACTTGTCCAGTTATATTCACGTGTGCCAGCCGGAGATCGGTTAGGGAGTTCCAATAAGTAAGCCCAAGAGACAATGAATGCAGGTGACTTGTAATACGACCCGTGTCTGGAAAATTATAACCCGTTGAGTTTCCCCAAATTTCTGACAATTCTAGCTTAAGCCTTTTAACTCTCTTTTCTATTGCAAAGTTAACCCAATTGTCAACATCAAAGCTACAACTTTCATCAAGATCAAATTTAACTCTAAATTCATCCACACTTAGACCATTGTACGATTTCAAGACTTGATTAACCCAACTCAAAAACAAAGGTCTTTCTACTTTAACTTCCTTATCTCCCAGTAGAATACCATCTATAAGATGTGGGGCATCAAAGTTCAAAATAGTAATGTGAGTCCACAAATACCTCCATCTCTTTGAAAGAACACTAGTTCTTGCAGCTTCTTTCATTGTCAACAGTGACAAGATTGAAACAAGGACAACATCAGGAAGTCCATTAATGTGATCATCCAAACACAACCCTCCTTTATCTACCTTCTCACTATTTCAATAAAATGGAAAAAAAAAAAAAAAATTAATAATAATAATTATTAAGAAGGTGTGATAACAGAAACAGTAAAGTAATGCTCAATTTTCGTAACAAAAATTCTTCTTCTGAAAATAACATAAATATAAACATACATATACATGTACATATATATATATATATATATACACACACATAAGAAAAAAGGAAAAAAAAAAATTATAAATTTTTACCTTGCGTCTTCAGCAAAAATTGAAGTGGGTCTGTTGGTTTTCTCCATTGGATTTGATTTTCCGATTGTTTTTCAGAGAGAAAAAGAGAGAAATTTTGTCAAGAAAACAAACATGCACATTCATAGAGATTGATTGCTGTATTTTCAGAAAGAGAAAAAGAGAGCAATTTTATATACATGTGAGATTAGTACGAACTTGGAAGGTAATAAATAGATTTTTATTTTCCTTTTCTCTGTTTCTGACTAGGATTAGGAAACTTAATCCTCAAGATTAGGCAATGCTTGACTTTACGATCCTAGATGGAGAGGGAGAGAGTTGAATCGAACGCTGCCGAGAGGATCAAGCGGTGGGTCTGAAGAGCACATGCTTTATTCTAACGGTTGAGATGCATCAAAATCTAATGGCTCTGATGAAATCTTATTTGAACGTGGATCCTTACCAATGAAACGATGTAAGTAGGAATAATGGGCTAGTGAATTATCAACTCTTTGGGCCATAATGTGAGCTGGCCCAAACTTGTACTTTTATGGGTTAAACCATGTACAATTTCGAGTCTGCTCAAGTTTAGCTCGTGTTACTTAATCAACAAGTCCGAATCGAGTCTTGCTTAGTTTAGCTTTACTAAATGAACAAGTCCGAATTGAACTTTTAACAATCTGTACCCAATTCATGAACAATTAAGTTCATTTAACCGAATCCAACTTTTAACGATCCAAACCCAATTCATCCAAAACAAAATAATTGATTTGAATTCCCAATTATGGAAGGTACTTATTGAATGTTAGTATTAAATTATGCTTGGCTTGGGGTAAAAAGTGGGGCTGGATTCACGGATCATTACCAAGGTTTAAAATGCACGGAACCCATAAGAAAATAGAACAAAATTTTCTTAAAAAATGAATATTGTGCTTCTTTTTTTTCTTTTTCTTTTTTGAGAAGACTACTATTAAAATTTCCATTTTCCTTGGTATCTACACTTTTGAAATGTTTATAAAAATTTCCTTTCCTTTCTACCTATTTGAATCTAATCTAAGAGATAAATTGTTCAATAGAATGATATACCGGCATCATAGAGAAGGATCTGGACCAGAAACATTCTAACCGATCAAAAATAAGTTGGCTACTCTGGGCCATGCAACCCTACGGTTGGGCTAGTCATACCTTCCAAACACACCACCCATGTTAGTTGAGATTGGCCCGGGGCCAGGTAGACCACGGCCATGTAATAATTTATCCCAGTTACCATATGAGAAAGCAATAGATATAGAACCAAAGCAGATTCAATATGAACCCAGCAAATTCAATACCATGGTACAACTAAAATTTACTTCACTGGCTATTCTCAACTAAGCAAGTGTTGGGTGGATGTCAACAGGTTCATTCTCCACAAGCATCAAAACATTTTCAATCAAAATTACTACGTAGTGATTTACCATGGTAACTGTACTAATTGACTTTTAACTGTAAGACTCGCATTCTAGGCTCGGTCACTAAGTCATAATTTTTCCGTTTCATATCATCATCATTCATTCTGTGTCTCGGTCATCATTGTGCAGATGAAAAACGAATATTACAAGATACTAAAGATCACAATCTATGGAATGCATTTCGTTTGTCCACTTATAGTAGTTACTAATATATCTAGGAGATAACTGTCAGTTGAACAAGCATTAAGTCACAGATTTTCCGTGCAGTCAAATTTTTCTACAGCATAAGAAATCTGTACCCGTTCACTATTTTATATACCAGTGAAAATGAACACAGATTTGCCACCTACTTCACCACGTGGAACATATAGCGAAGGTTGGATATCATGACTGGGCACTCTCCCTTCTCATCATATTCAGCGAATTCGTCTCCAGACAAGTCAATGCCATCAAATGTAGTACCTTCCAGCTACACAAAAGAGTTACAACTAAGTGCATGCAAAAATATCCAACATGAAGGTAAAATTTCAGCTCGTTATATACAGTACATGAAACTGCAAACTAATTTTCATAAAAATATAGACCGTATGTACGCAAATATTTATAACATGAGAGAGACCGAAGTAAAATGAGGGGGAAATGCATCTCTAATCCATATTTTTTCATAAAACTCTCCAGTTCTCTCAGAAACCAACTTCAGTTTATGTGCTACAGTATAATGGCCGACTGTGCAGTTCATATATATATGTGTGTGAGAGAGAGAGAGAGAGAGATGCGCGTGCGACATAGCAAGCTAATATCTTATAAAATCAGCAAGAACTCAGACAGGAATGCATCATATTCCACATTGAAATACTCTTTTAACAAACTCTATGCATATGTTGGAACAAATGAAAAAGTGACTCGAGTCCACTTGCTTTCTAGAAAAAGAAAATGGGACATAAGGAATAAAATCACAACTTAATATGCTGATATATTTTGGTTTATGCCCCATGCAACTTGTTTTTTCCACTAATCCAACAAAAGATTGTTTAGAGTGAATCAGGTGCAATGCAAATTAGCATGTGATTATGGCTTACGATATTATTGAAATCACAAAGCATAGGTACCAACACGTAAAACAACATAGCAGTAGAACAAACAAAAGATTAAAAAGAAGGCCACAGAAATAGTTGGCCAACAAACTAACTTCTATTATATCTAGATCGGGGAATTGTAAAGGTTCTTCACTAAATCATGATGACTCCTAACATTTTCCTTACACCTACAAATGGATGGAACAAACTATACAACTACTAATTAGGCAGGTAGCACATTAACTGAGATGAGCACTTGCCTAGACCTCAATGTTTTTTAAGGTATCACAAGTTCTCAGGAATCATTTTTGTTGATAAACAAAGTATATAATTGAATGGAAGTCACATTAATGTATGTTACTGAGATCAAAACTAAACAAACAGAAAAGCAGATTTAAAACAAATAATAATATATAATATCTGATTTAGCAAGTCAGGCATCAAATGTTGATCTCTAAATAATATTTGGCCACTAATAAGCAATTGGCATAATCTGGTATAGTGTTTCAGCAAGTGTTCATCCTGGTACATTAACCGAGATTAGCAATTGCCCAGAGCTCGATGTTTTTGTAAGGCAGTATCACAAGTACTCAAGAACCATTTTTGTTGATTATGAAACACAAAACAGAAGTATATAAATGAATGGAAGTCACATCAATCTATGTTACTGAGATCAAAACTTATTACAAACATAAAAGTACATTCCTTCATTGGATCTTTAACATAGTTGAATTATTTTTAGCATTTAAGTGTTGTAGCTGATAATCTGATATAGTGTTAAAGCAAGTCATACATCAAATTTTGATCTCTAAATAATATTTCGCCGCTAATAAGCAATTGGCATATCTATCATTTTGCGTACTGGTTTCTTATATTTTTTCTTTCTGGATATGGGGGTGGCAGTGGGAAAAGCGGTCTTCAATGTAACACAGTACAAACATATATAAATGAATGGAAGTCATGTTAATGTATATTACTGATATCCGAAACTGATAACAAAGTTAATATCCAAAACTGATAACAAAGTTAAAAGTGCATTCTTTTGTTGAACCTATAACAGACTTAAATTATTTTTAGCTTTTTAGAAAATATATAGTGATTTCAACAATCCAGACACTAAATTTTGACCTCTAAATAATATCTGCCAGCTCATATGTAAATTGTGTAATAAATGTGGAGATGGTTGCAGAAGTTTGGGAAAATCAAAATGCATGTCATACTCTCACAAAACAAACTCAAAAATCCAATAATATATTGCATGCCATACTCTCACAAAACAGACTCAAAATCCAATAATAGAACGCAGATAACTATTTCCTATTCAATAGTGAATCCACAAAACAAATTTTTAACAATTTATATTAGTACATGCACTGTCCTTGAGCTCACCGCCAATCATTAAACTAGAGTATAATGGATTCCTCATTGCATTTAAATAAGGATGAAAAAAAAAGAAGGTCCTTTTTATCATGAACAACAGTAACAATGTCCAAGACCTGCTACATTCCAGAATCAGATGGAAAGATATATCTACCACAATACTTCGATGATTCAATGATGCAGTTAAAAGGTTTAGAAAGAGTCACTATAGCACTTAAGTACATTTCAAACTTAATAGTTAAAAATGCTACATGATCAATAACTGGCACACAAAGCAATCAAAGACTTACTGATTCAACTTTCCAGCTACTGCCAAATGAAAATTCTACAGGCTCATACCCCCTGCAGTCAAACAACATCAAAGGAGAATACTTTCCCGATTCACTAATTGCCTGGGTCAGTGGACGGCCACGGCCAGTAATCATTGTTATAGTCCCCTCCCTCCCGCAAAATTTGCACTTGAAATAGAACAAAGGCAACACCATATCAGTTAATAATCCTTTCAGGAGTAAACCGAAAGAGCGAGAGCAATATATGTGACCCAATCAAAGGATAAAAAAAAATAAGAAACATATCAGAATATAGCATAGTAAGGAAATATAAGTATCCTCTAAAACTCAATACTATGGATCTAAATGCTATTTACTGCAATCCCTAATACACTACAAATGTATGAACCATTAAGAATATTATAATACTAATTCATTGTTAAATTATCCTACCTCCTAAAACTTGTAAAGGAAACTGAACAAAGCCAACAATGTATCAGTTAACAATCATTTAGGAATAAACCAAAATAACAGACCAATACATGTGACCCAACCAAAGGATCAAAATTAATTCAGAACAAATATAATTGGACAGTGAGGAAATCTAAAGTTCCTCTAGAACTTAATATCATGGATCTAAATGTTACTTAATTCCATGCTTCCTCTCAACAAATCCATGAATCAATTAAGACTCGTAAAATTACTTCATTGTTACAATGCCCTCCCTTCGAAGAAACTTGCACTTAAAAATAACAAAGGCAACAAATGTTAACAATCCCTTCAGGTAACAAAAAAGAGTGGAAGCAATATGTGTGACCCAATCAACAGATCAAAACTAAATCCAAAACATACCAGAATAATTGGTCATGAGGAAATAAATTGGCCTTTAAAACCTAATATTATGGTCTAAACATTATCTACAGCAATCCTTCTTCACAGTGAGTCCGTAAAATCATTAAGATCATAAAATTAATTCATACCTACAATCCTACATACATGGTGTGTGTCACACAGAGTAATCACATAGACATTTTCCAAGCCATCCTTAGTAAAAGACATAGAAGAATATTATAAATTAATTCATAAACTCAGGATGCATGATGCAGAAATATATACACTATTATGCATATAAAAGGGTGTAGGGAAGACATTTCACCTTCTGAACAAGGTTAGTGGTACCCTTCGGCAGTGCAACTGTTTCATTCAAACTCACACATGTCTCTTTCTGTGTCAACTCTCCACAATTTCCACACCTCATCTGGACAAATCAAATATATTAGCAATTTAGCATACACACACAGAGATATATATATATATATATTAGCAATTAATATCAGTTGGAATAATCATAATACATTCATTAAAATGATAATAATCGTCTGAATTCAGATTGAAATAAGAAAATATTGAAGATTTGACTAATATTAATACAAAATCAGAAACCTAGACAAACACAAAAAATCTCAATCAACAACAATGATAAGAATAATTATGATATAAAATTTTTTTTTAAAAAAAACCAGAGTGGAAACGAGTATAATCACGTAAAATGAACTGATACAAAATCTACAAAATCAAAACAGTACAATTATACAAGCCTATATACCTACATATACCGAATATACATCTAAACAAACATGAATGTTCAATCAAATACAAAAATAACAACCTACATTCGAAGTCGATGAAGTAAATATTGAATAACAGAGTAGATTCAACTAATTTAAACTAGTATATATATTCAGAAACCCTAACTACATATATACGTGCATATAATTACACAGTATTCACACAAAAAATGAAAAGAGTAACAAATAATCGAGTTGAGAGAAGAAATACTAATCAGTAACTAGCGAAAAACAAAATTAGGAACTCAAGTATATACAAAATTAAGAACTCTAGTGTGTGTGTGTGTATATATATAGTAGAGATCGAACCAGACCTTGAAGTAGTAGGTGAAGTTTGGATCATCGCAGCCTTCTTGAGGCTGAAGATCGGTGAGGTTCTCGAGGTCGGCGGTGATCATCAGCATGTAATTCACCATTTTTCTCGATTAGCCTAAAAATGAAATTCTTTATGTCTCAAGTACACCCGTCCTAGTATATAAATAGAATATATATTTCGTTCTTTTTTCCAAAAATTAAATGATTTAAAAAAAAAATAAAAAAAAAAAACTATTAATTCATTAAAATGTGAAACATTACCAATCTCTCCTTTTCAAACTGACAGTTACGAGAGCAATTAAATATTGTGAGAGTGTTTATTCGAATTTTTGGAGAGAGAAAAAAAAAAAAAAAGGAAAAATTACATATAAATGGAGTTAAAGTTTCATATTTACTTAGAGACTGAGTCAAAGTTTCATATTTCTCTAAAATGGATTGCTGAGGTGGCACATGGTTTTTTACTGTTTAGAAAATTGTGGTGCCTAAAATGCCCTTCCCTAACAAAAAAGTAGTACATTCAGTTCAAAAAAGTAGTACCTTCAGTTCAAAAAAGTAGTACATTCGAAGAAAAAGTAGTACCTTCGCGGGTGTTTAAAAAACATGGTACCTGGACACTAAAAAGTAGTACCTTCAGTTCAAAAAAGTAGTACCTTCGAAGAAAAAGTAGTACCTTCGCGGAAGGGTATTTTAGGCACCAAAATTTCTAAACAGTAAAAAACCATGTGCCACCTCAGCAATCCATTTTAGAGAAATATGGAACTTTGACTCAGCCTCTAAGTAAATATGGAACTTTGACTCCATTTATATGTAATTTTCCCAAAAAAAAATGCAATTGTGATGTCTCTTGTTAGGATTGTAATTTGGAGAGTTAATTTTAAATTCAACTCAATATTTAAGGCGGTAATTTAATAATACAAACATGATTTGTATTATTAAATTTAAAATTTTATTTATTTATTATTAATACTAACCTAAGTCATATGATTTGTTGATGAGATCGCCCCTCTCAATTGTGTGTGAATTGGCGAGTTGGGAACTAATTTTCAAGACCTGTTGGGACAAGCCCAGTCATCTAACATTTAAGCTAGCTTTTACTTGTGAAATAATAATAAAAATATAACTACTTCATATAATTAATTAATAAAAACAAATATTTATTATGGGCTTCCTCTAGACTTTCATTCTCTCACCATATGACTTAGACGTTAAGTCATTAACCAATATTGTAATTTTTTTGCTTGTTTATTTTCATTTAGAAAAGTAAGGGTAAAATAGTCAATGATTAGGTTTTCCAATGACTAATCGGGCGCTGAAATATTAAGCGAGTGACTGGGACTAGTAGCGGAGGATCCGGCCTTTACCTTATAAAGGTTGAACATGAACAAATTTTCAAATACCTTGCTCTTTTGCAATTAGTGATGGCAAATAGGCGGGTTGGGCTGAGTTTAAATTGGGTTAAAAATGAATAGGTCAATATCAGTCAAAACCCATTTTTAAGCCGTTAAGAATGAGTTAAAAATGAGCGAGGTCAACCCGTTATGACTCGTGAACCTATTAATTATTATTTTTAATTATTTTTTTTATTTTTTTAATAAGTGATGGACATTTATAAATAAATATATAAAGTTATTTTTTAAAATTGATTGGGTTTTTATATATATATTTTGGGTTTATGAAGTTAGGGTTTATATATATATATGGGGTTTATATATAATTGTGGCCGATGCTTCTGGTGCACAGTTGTAATGTCATCAAAGTGTTTGGGACTCTAATTTTGATTCCTTAGGATTTTTCAATTATGGAAAGGGTTTATATACATGGTGTGAATTGTGAACTGGGGGGCATGGAGATTTTGAATATTAAAAATAAAGTTCATGTTTTGGACACTGTAATTTAGCTTCTTTACCTTTTCTTTCTTTCTTGGAGCTTTATGAAGTTACAGTTTATTAATTACTTCTAATTGAAAGAGTTTATGATTGGTGGTGGGTTTTTTTTTTTTCCCTCCAATTTATGAAATTAAGATTTATCAACTATGGGTGTGAGCTTGGAGTAGTTTGATTATTATTATTATTTTATTATTTTATAATTAAAAAAAAATATGTAAGTTTAAAGCACATCCATGTGTTCCCTTTAAGTTTAAAACACATCCATGTGTTCCCTTTAAGGGGAGCATTTAAAAAAAAGTGACATATTTATAAAATTGCGAATAACTGTGTCGGTGGGTTAATTTCTTATCAACAATTTTATAAGTAGGTGGATTAATTTTTTTTTGTGAAATGGTAGCTTGTGATGCGTCATGTTGTGTTTTCACTTTTCAGTGGACTTGCTCTTTTTATTTATTTATGTTTTTTAACTGTAAATTGGAGCTATATTGTATAGTTGGGTTCTTATTCACCAAACCAATGGAGTCAGGATTTACCAAACTCAACTTAAACTTTTGATAATTACATTTTCAGAATGGCTGATAATTTTTGGCTACTTAAAATCATGGCATGTCTGGTTGTTGAATCGTCTTTCACATTGTACAATGAAGTTGATGTTTGTGTCATTGGCTACTTGCATGTTCCTACTATCTTCCAAACAAAACTTGAATACAATTGATATATAATTTATGTAATTATAAACATGTCCTTTTTAATCTCTGATTGCAGTAGTTTTAGATTCTCTCAATGCGGAGCATGAGTTGATCTGATATTGATTTGATTCATATCCCAGCTGATATCTTGAAATTAGCAGCGAAAGATTGTTAGTTGTGTTTCTTGCTTTTTGTTTGCTGGGACCTAAAAAATAAAAGGTGAAGTGCAGAAAACCCCCCATATACTATCGATATAGTGCATATCAATCCCTGTGTGGTAAAAAAACTCCATTTACCATCGATTTGGTGCAAATAGGTCCCTGAGTGGTGTAAAATGTCGATAATACCCTCACTTCAGTTGAATAAATTAATGATTATAAATATAGGCCATGTAAAATGACTTTTTTGTCCAAATTTGTGTAAAATGGTGTTTGTTTGGCAGAAGGATAAAATAAACTTCAAATTGTATAAAACAGGGATAACCTAAACCTGAATATAATTAAATGTAAAACCAAACATGCCCTTTCATATTTTAAAATATAAATAAATTTATCATTTATATATATATATATATATGCACACCATATATCATCATTAGGGCAAATCTGTTTTAGGTCTAAATCATTTCAGCCTCCGCCTCTGCCTCCATCGCTTTTCATCGCTATTCTCGTTCTCAACTCTGAACTAACCCCCCCTCCCCCCCTCTCTGTGCAACTGCAAACTACAACGCAAAACCCATATATTTTAGTTTATCTATCTGCTGCAAGAATCAAAAGTTCAAAACCCATATCGGCATATCATTTCATATTGTCAAAAAATCAAAACCCATATCTTTCTGTTTCCATCGCCGGCTGTTCCAGTTCGGGTTCGCCGTTCGCAAGCTTCGGCAGCTGTTCCAGTTCGGGTTCAACAAGTGACCATTGATTCCGGCGAAAGCCAAGCTGCATTCCGAGCTCCTGTGAACTGATCGACAGCAAGCTTCACGGCCTGCTTGCCTTCTCCGGTGACAAATCAGTGAACTCATCGACTTGCATTCGACCACGGTGAACAAAAGCGGCGAGCTCTGTTTCAGTTTTATGATCTCACTGTTGCGTTTTTGCAACGGTGGGCCTAGGTAGCGTGGACACGTTGCCGAACTGAAGTGGGTTTCGCCGAAGAGGAATGCACCGAACTGACATGGGTTTTGCAGAAGCTTGGAACTCACCGGAACTGGCCGCAGTGGAATTCACAGTAAACTGGCCGGAGTGGAATTCACCGGAACTGGACGGAGTGGAATCCAAAACTCCCATTACACGCCCACTCTAGACCAGATCACTGTGGGTAACAACCGAACCACTGAATGCTGGACAACATAATCTCATTAAGTTCTAACTTTAGGATATAAACCATTATGCATCTTGAGCAAAACCGAGTATACCACAAATTTCAAGATTACCAACAAGAAAAATGAAGTTGACTCCGCAGTCTTCATATGTCAAGAAGCAGCCTCTGAGGGTTCTCCACAACATCTTTGATGCGGCGCAAGAAGAAGACATCCTCTCTTCCATCAATCAACCTATGGTCATAGGTTAGTGCAATGTACATCATTGGCCTTGAAACAACTTCACCCTGAACAACCATTGGACGGTTCACTATGGAATGCATGCCCAGGATTGCCGACTGAAAGAAAAAAGATAAATAACAAATATACCTAGTTTTTTCAAATGGAAACATAAAATCCTTGTCAAGGCACTGGAACTGTTGGATGACATGTTTCATTGTAATTGTAATGTCAAATGCAAACATTGTTGGATATCTGCAAAATAAAACAAAAAACACATGCATACCTGCAGAACTAGTCATTCCAGGAAAGCAACCAGCATATATGTGTGTGTGTGCATCCTTATACACATATAAATAAATTATTTATATGTGCATGTACTTTTAGCAGTGACAAAGACATTCTCCTTCAATTATGGAAATTTTATCAGCTACATAGATCAATCTTTTTGGCCACATGGGACTGTAGTTTAAGTTCCTAGAATAATTTTTGAAACCTAGTAAACTTCCTAACTCGTAAAAACTTCAATTTTTCTATATAAGATCAAGATATCATCTGAACAAACAAATAAATTTAAAAGAGAAGTATGTAGAAGCAATAGGTTTTACAAACATGTAATTATAGGATAACCAAAACTACTTCAGCTGGAAGTTTGGTTCGAAACTTCTCAGCACGCTTTCTAGCTGTTTTTTTCAGCTTGGTCTCTATAAACTCCCATGGGGTTCCTATAAGAGATGGATTGTGAGAATCAAAAGTAATCTTCTCAAGCTTGACAGCACCCTTAATTAAATACATGGCAAGCTCAACATCAATTATCCGCCCAATGAACCCAATAAATTCCACCTCCTTAAGGTAATGATGGGGCCAAAATTTAACCCCTTGCCATTTTCTTTGCACATGGGAGCAGGTCCATGTAAGCTGTAACAAGGAGGAATGGAGTCATGCGGTGCTTTATACAAGCTCAAGGAATGACATAAGATGGATTAACAATGATCAAAACAAAGCAATCGAAGGATGTGTATCATATTAAACAACCGTA